TTATAAGCAATAAAATGAACAGGTTTAATTTTATTAGAATGCAGTAACAGTATTTGAAACAAAGCTTGACTGTCTAAACAAAACCTTTAGCAAAATATATTGAAACTGTGGACATAAGAGCTATGGAAAGGGACAACAGTAATGTTCAACCATTTTCCCACTATTTCAGTAATACTTATATGTAGACTATTGTAACACAAAAAATTCACCACCCAGAGACTGCTATTGGTGTTCAAACTTCAAGCTGAAGCTCAGGGAAACAAAGAAGGTGGCCACTAGCTCTCACCTCTAGCTCAGCTGAAAGGGCTAGTCCAGGCACAAGCTCTTCACCAAGTCTCAAACTTCTGCCTCTCCTCAGTGTGGCTGGAGAATTAATTCTCTCTAAGATCTTGCTTCTATGTTATATAATGTTGGGACTAAAAGTGTGAGCTATAATTATCTTTTAGACTGATTCACTCTTGTGCAGATCTGTCTGTCTCTTAATCCTGAGTCCTAGGATTAAAAGTGTGTACTACCACCTCCTAGCTTCTGGCTGCTGGGATTAAAGGTGTATATCACCACTCCCTGATCTCTATAGCTTGAGGGTGACTTTGCTTTTCTGAATCTTCAGGCAAGCTTTATTAAATCATAAATAATATATCATATAGCCTATAGTAAGAATACATTACATGTTTTCCTAAATTAACACACTTATTACCCATAATAAATATAGACCCAGGCCAAGTCACAGACATCATAAACATAAGCCACTCATACTGTGGTAATCCCTGATAAACTTACTGGTGTCTCCTGGGTACTGACATGCTTTTTCTTTAGACATAAATGATACTAAGAAAATGTCCCTTTCAGAAAAATGCTGCTCTGACTTTCTCTGAAGAATTCCCATGGAGTTCCAGAGTCATTGTGTGACTCTGTGTCTCTGTAAATGTGTAATGTCTATCAGTGTTGATACTCTGGATGTCCTGCTTTTCTGGGTTGTACTGAAAGAAAATTGGTGACATCTGTGTTTTGCAACATATAAAATCTGTGTGCTTTTAAAAGCTGCCCATCTTCCTTGACAGTTAAATCATGAAAATTCCCAGAGGAATCCCAAATGTAGTTACTTGTTACAGCTGTGTAAGCACCATTTAGTCATAGTTGTGGCAACACAAATGAAGGAACATTTATTAATGTTATAGCTGTGTTGCTTGCATTTAATTTATTAGACAAGGCTTCATTTTCTCAAGCAACTGGTCACATTATATTTGGTTTCAAATAATAGATGTGTGAATATTTCAGAAATGTGTTTCAGATAGCATCTGTTTCAAATATAGATGTTTTCCTATCATATATATGTATATATATATATGTAGATAGATAGATAGATAGATAGATAGATAGATAGATAGATAGATAGATAGATATGAAATTACTTACAAGGAGAGTAATTTACAAAATGCCTTCTTAACCTTGGTCCCAAAGATTACCAATGAAGCCCAAGCATCCTTGCAGTGTTTCATGTTGGAATCTGTAGCATAAGCTCTCTCTGACTTTTTGTCCCTTTTCTGTATTTAGACTGTCATGTGTTTGCTACATTATAGGAAATGTGGTGCACATATTTCAACCCAGTACAGCTATGCTCAAATGCTTGCTGCCATCATATTTATCTTGTCTCAGACTAAGATGTCTGAATATGGTGATTGACAGTTGCAGGATTCACTCTGAAGCTGTGTCTGGGTCTCTAGGCTGATTTTGTCATCTGGTTCTATTGCTCTATTTGTCTGGAGAATTTAGTATATTCTCTTTTTCTTTGTTTCATGCCAGTGCTGTTTTATTTGTTTGTTATAGACAGAGTTTCTCTTTAGCTCAGGAAGGCCTGGAACTCTTGGCAATCTTCCTGCCTTATCCTATCAAGCATTTGGATTAATTACAGCTGTACACCACCTGGCTTGGCCACATTTTCACAATCACAATTCATAGAATATTTTTTCTTCAGTGTTCCTATGTATGACTATATTATTAGTAATATTAAATGTTTTTCCTTCTAGTTTCCTGAGATAAAACTATTAACTATAGTCAAATTTATGACTTTTTCATTTTATTTAACTTCTAAAAGTATTTACATATGAAAGATATTTATTTCATTAATAATATTTCAATTTTTATTTAATTGACCTTTGGTTTCCTAAACATTTTTTTCATTTCATCAGGTATTTATTCCACAAAGTAGTAGCATAAAATTGAAATGCCATGATATCCCTGTTTTAGAATTATTATATTATGTGACATATGAAATAGTTTTCAGATAGTGCTGAGCTGGAATTGCATTCATCATTTATCCTGAAGATTATCTTTTGTCACATGTACACAATTAACTTGAAATAATTTAATATCATAATTTTAAGATTAATTATGCTAGTTGTTGTATGGTATTATTATGTACTTGCTGAAAGACATGGCTCAATATTTTGACAATTGACAAGCCACATTGATTCATCCTGACTGGAATCTGGAATGGAGAAGATGCATACAGGTGGGTAGGAATGAAGATAGATGGACAGCGTAGCTTTAGAATGGGAAGGAGTTTCCTTCTGAGGAATTTTGAGCAAATCAGCAGACTTTTAGATGTGACTGCTGGGGAGACAGCAAAAGCAACTTTCATGTTCCACAACCCATGTGTTCAGCCCTATTGTCTGAACCAGAGAGAGAATGATAATGTATACATGAGGGAGCTGAGAGATTGTGAGCAGATCCTGCCAATGGCACTTTTTTTTTAATGGCCAACTTCTTTATGGAATGATGGACACATGATTTTCACTTGTTAGATTGGTAATACATCATGCTTCTAAAACATGTTCTGGTCACAAGTGAGATCCTATTTAAGAATCCATGAATAAGAACTTTTGTATTTCAATTTTACCATAAAAACGAGAAAAAAATTCTGCCTTGCATCAATAAATTGTACTAGATGTGGAAACCCTTTCAATTGTTTTCTAAATTAGTGAAACTAACCAGAGTCATGAATCAAAATCACCTAAAGACTTAAAAATTTAAAATACACATGTGCCCAATTGCCCAGCATATGTCCAATGAATTGTGGTCCTAGGGGAAGAATTGGAAAGGCAGGAATATTTTACTGTTTCCATATCAAGAGAGACATCTAGTTTCCATCTATAATAAAATTAAAGAAACAAAAAGCCAACAGTATTCTAAAACAGCACAAAGCAACAATAAAGATATGTGGTATGAATAAAAAGCTGATAAAATGACAAAGTTTCCATTGTCATTATCCCGTGTCACACTGCCATGGCACCGGCCATTCTGACTATGCTTTGCCTCCAATATACCACCCAACTCACTTTTAAACGCACTAGTGCTTTTTCTTCCTATGGTCTAACTCCAGAAAATAAGCAGTAAGGAAATGGAAAGGTCACTGCAACCCTGTGACTCCCCTTTGAGTTAACAGTACTTCAGTTTATGGTCTAGATACTTCTCACTGCTCAGAGAAGCAGGGAACCTGATGAGGTGGGCTGGAAGAGGAAGATTGATTTGCTGCTTTACTCCAATGGTTCACCAGCTTTAGTATGCATCAGAATCATGTGATCAATTTGGTAAAAAGAGATTGCTGCTCTATGAAGAAATTTCTTCAATCAGAGTAGGGTTCTGAAGCCATAGGTTCAAATTTTCCCAAGGAATGTGTTCATGATCACCACAAAGACTACAATTTGTGAACCATTGCTTTACTCTTTACTTACACACTTGAGTGGCCAGAGATGTAAGTTGTCAGAAACACACTTTATTATCCAACCTACAGAAGAGCCATGGAAGGAAAGTTGCACTGTCATTTCAGAGATACCTTTGCATGAATCATTTGAATTCAGACCATATGAACCTTACTGCTCGGGCATAACAGATTAAATCTTTTCCCACCCTACCTTAACCTCAAGTCACTGTATTCTCCAAGGCCTGCATCAATTTCTTCCACTAAATAACTCATCAGTTACGGTTGGAGAGGTCATCAAAACAAATTCTAAACGAATTAAAATTCATTGATTTAGCCCAAGTCCTTGAAGAACAGCACTGCAAAATTCAACATAATAATTGAGACAAACCCAAATTAATGGCAAGCCTGTGGCATGTTTTAGGGACTGAGAAAGCTTAAATATTGTCAACATGACCACATATACATCATGGGGGTTATTAATATGCACCACAATGGCAGTTTTATAGGCACAGAATTTCATAGGGAAAGAAATCCAGCTAGATATCAAATGTGCATTCGCACATGTCTGTGTGCAGGCACCAGTGAATAAACTTGTTTAGTCAAAGTCTATAATTTAAACATGTATTATTGAAGTGCTTAATATTTTAAATGAGCATTTCAAAATTTTTTCCCAGAGAAATATTATATAAACATTTAAATTATTGAATTTGTAAGAAATAGTGTTCCTTAAATATAGGTATAAAGATTTCTATTTTTGTGGAATGTCACTAACTTTATGGGTTGATTGCCTTGGAGACATGCCTGTGATTGTTTAAGTTTTACCATTAGTTTATCAGAAACCATTTTTTAGTCTTGGAACAACTCATTTAAATGGCACTATTAGTTAAATAGCTGATTTGGTATCTACCTGGAACAAATACACAGCTTTCACTCCTTCCAGCAGTCACTCGTTGGAAATGCATTATTGGAAAATCAGTCCACTTACAAGGCTGCTGTCACTTTTACCATAATGGATTATAATGTACACTCAGCTGCATAGTCTGCATCTGCAAAGGCTTCCATCCATTTTTCACCCACATGAATTTTGAGTCATTTTTTTCTAAAGCAAAATTTTTTTCCAAGTGCATGTGGCATTACACTGTCCTATGAATGAGGCAGAACAGTTTGCTCTGCAGTCAGATTCATCACCATGCATCAGTACACAGGAAAATGAATGTCAGCCTCATTATCACTCAGGACTGGAAACCTGGAGGCCCTTACAATGCTAATACTTTATACTCTCTCTGCTTCTATCTAGTTGAAGAACAGCAACAACTGGCACACAGTAACCAGGCTGAAAGTCACACCGCTGTTGATCAAGGAACAGCCCAGCAACCCCAGCAAGAACAGAAGCAAGACTATGGAGACCCAGGTCTTACACTATAACTACTATCACATTTAACCCAATAATTATCAACACCATTTCAGTGTTCAACACACTTCTCAACACTCTTGTGTGGTTATTAATTGTTTAGAGAAACTGCATTAGGTTTCAGGTTTCCAGGTGGGAAAGATTTATATAAAGTAGTGGGGAAAAAAATCCATGAACAAGCCCAGGAGACTAAATGCTGCAATCACACATCCAGGGGGTAACAGAACAGTTGTCTAAAATTAAACTCAGCTTTTGTTTGATATAGAAAGAGCACCTTGACCAAGTTAAAAGAGCTGGGAAGGCTGCTTTGGCTGATAAGACACCACCAAGGCATGCTGATAACTTAGGAAAATGGTTATGTACCTAAGACCTTGTACTGATCAAAAGTCAGCCTGAGATGTGTTTTTTGTCTTAATACAGTATTTCACCATCTCAGGCTTAACTTTAGCCCAAAAACGAAGGTGGATAGTGTCAATAGCATCTCTCCAACAGAATGCTTGGTATAGATTTTGGTAAACAAAGCAAGGAATTCAGTTGAGAAATGATGTTTAAGGGGATCTCTTTTTAAAAACTCAAGAGATCATCATGCTAAGAGAAATAATCCAGGCTTAGAAAGACAAACATCGTGTTTTCTCTCATGTGGGAAACATAGGTTTATATATATTCACATATAGGATTAATGTGTAAATACATATAATATATATATATATATCATACATTTATAAGATGGATAAAAGGAGAATGTTGACAAGAATGACGACAGTAATGAAAGTTGAATATGAATGAAGTACAATGATAAATATATAGGAAATGCCATAGTAAAACCTGTTTTTTAGGGGTGATAATTCAAAGAATTAATTTTAAAATGTGAATTTGGGCAATGTATATAGAAATTGTCCTTTAACTTATATTATGACTTGGTATCTGTAAAATACTGGCAAGTCTATGAATCAGTACAATGTGTATGTAAAGGAGTAGTGAGTATTGTTACTGTACAGATTGACTCCCTCTAAATTGGGATCTGCCCCTCATCAAGGACTACTTCAGTGAGCAATGAAACACTTGGACAGTTCCAACGCCATGCATATGTAAAATGGCATACATTTAGTTCTGGGACACAATTTAAGAGCAGAAATGAGCCATTAGCTGGGTGGCAGAGAGTCCATTACTTTGGCTTTCCAATCTCGATATTTTTATTTATTCAGAATGTGATGATAGGTCTAAGATTTTTTAAAGACAAATTATGAGAAAACATTAAAATGTACAAATTAAAGATATTATAATACTTTGGAAATGTATCCCCTAAAGTCACTTCATCATTCATGTTGCCACTGAAATGTAGCCTGTATTTTCAAATCTATAAGCACAAATATGATGGTACTTGTATTTCCTTTATACATCATAAATTTTGACAGGTGTTAAGTCTACTATTTTAATGCTCCCAAATCTCTCTCTTCTACATGCAGCTGTGATTCAAAAACTGGCAGAGCAAATGAGCCAGCAGTCAAGGAAGCTGACACTTCTGCAAAAGAAGGTTGACAATGTCTCTCTGGCTGCAGATGACATGAGGAATGCATACCTCTCCCTAGAAGGGAAAATCGGTGAAGACAAAGGCAAGCAACTCCAATCTCTTCTAAAAGGTAAAAGTAAAACAAAAGGAAAAATTCATTCAGTTAAGACACAAAACCCATTACTCACTGACATTTTCTCCTGTCACTTTAGATCTTTGCCACAGATGAGATAGTAAAGAAATGGGTATTTTTAAAGGGGCAACTTAAAATATGTAACTTCAAAACAATTGGAACTTGTTTATCAAAGTATATTTTGTAATACTCACTTGTTTGTCACTTCATACTTAGTTATAGCATAAATTGTATTTAGTTAGAATGAGCCCACAAGTCCATCACAATTGTTAGAAAAAAAGTGACCTTAGTGTTGCAAAAAGGAGCACATAAAAGGGGGGAATGTTATAACAGTATCATAATGTAAAGCCTTTAAAGGACTAAATGTCAATAACACCAAAAGAATGGCATTTAAGTTACATAAGATAAAGTCAAGCACAGTTTGGAGAGCTACCCTTCCTACACAGGTACTAACATGAAGCCTGGTGACATACTTTTGTAAACTCAGAAACTTAAATGAATGTTTCTTTATCAGTGAGTTGTAGAAATGCATATGGAAAAAAAAAAAAACCCCGGTCATGAACATGATTTTGAGCTGATTTTCTGCTTGGTGTCTTTTCAAATAGTGCTACAATTTGGAGATTTCCTCTATCATTTTTCCCAAGGATATCTTAAAGAATGAAAGCTAGGGAGCCAAATACATTTTAATTTGTCCTAATGTCCTTCAGCAGGATCCATACTGATCTTATCTATGCATAGTATTTCCAGCTTGTCAGTCATACTCTGACCTTCTGATCATGTCAAAAAATTTTGTCAGATTGAATTAAACATCTTTCAGCAATTTTTAGCAGCTAGCTAACTCAATAAGGCTTAAATTTTATTTTTCCTTATCAGTGTTCAAAATACTGTGGGTGACTAATATGAAGTTATAAATTCAAAGAACTAACCCTCACAGGTATAGAAATTTTATTGTATATAATAAAATTTTGGAAGCTGTGAGAATTGGACATAATTTCAACTAACCAGAAATGGCTAAATTAGTCTCTAGAAAGTACAGACATATTTGTACTATGAAGTAGTGCCTTACAACTGCCTCACATTTTAAGCTGCCGAATTTTACTATCTGTATAGGATATAGATACACATTTACAACATAGTTGTTAAATAGATGGGTAACTGACAAAATGCTAGCCAATGCTTCTGGCTTGTTAATGAATAAAAAGAAAGGGCTATTTTTGTATAAATTCTCTCAATTGTAGCTATTTAAACATTTCTAATTTACCTTTTTTTCAAAGTTTTCTGCCAAGTATTAGTGAAAGATTGTAGGGAGACACTGTAGCCCCGCCTCCTAGGAGCCACTATAGGTGTGCCTGGCTATGCGCATGAGGGAGTGGTCAGGGGAGGTTCAGGATAATGCGTGGGGAATTCTTTTTTTTTTTTTTTTAGATTTATTTATTATGTATATAGTATTTGCTTGCATATATCTCTGCAGGCCAGAGGAGGGCACCAGATCTCATTATAGATGGCTATGAGACACCATGTGGTTTCTGGGAATTGAACTCAGAACCTTTGGAAGAGCAAGCAGTGCTCTTAACCTCTGAGCCATCTGTCCAGCAGGGGAATTCTTAAAGGGTGGCAGACACATGGGGAGCCCCTTCTCTCTGGCCTCCTTAGCTTGCTGCCTCTGGGCACTCTCTGACTTGTGCTTGAGCAGTATTACTTGAATAAAGATATCTTAACCTGTAACTTCATGTTATAAATGATAGTTCATAGTTTTTAGATTTTGATTCTTCTGTGCCTTTCTGTATTTAGCAACCTTAAACTTTAGACAATATATTTCCAGTAATATAGCTTAAAGGGTTTTTTAATACCAAAATAATTAATATCAAGATGTTCAAGGAAGACATATTCTTCTAAATGTTCTCCTTTTCAATAATTTTTATGAGAGTCTTCATGTGTGCTAAATGCTTTGTAAAAATGCAAGACCATGGAGCCCAGCTTGGTGAAGTGACTACATGAGTGATGTATCTGCTGGGGTGATGATGGTTCACTGTGCGCAACTTTCATTTTTAAAATTCCTTTTTTACTTAAATCTCATATGATAATCAATGTGCTTTTTGTACATTTTAATGAACATCTCTTCTATTTGCAATTATTTGTAGCTAGACTTTATAAGTGTCTTTTATTTTTCCGGTTGTTTCTGTAGAGAGTGTTTTTGTTTGGTTGGTTGGTTTTTAGTTTTGTCTTATTTTAGATTTTTCAAAAATTTGCTTTCTACTTAAGTCATTTGAAATAATCCAGGCCTTTCCCTCCCACTTAGTTTCTTTTTCTACCTCTCCCCACCCCATCCCATCCCATTTCTTTCCACAGTCCTCCCTCCCTCCCTCTCTCTCTCTCTCTCTCTCTCTCTCTCTCTCTCCCTCTCCCTCTCTTATTCTCTCTCTCTGTTTCACACAGCCTCAGTATGTTTTCAAAATGTTTTGAATGCTGGAAACCCTAAGTGTTCACTATTGGCGAGTTTCCACTTTTTATACCAAAGGTTAATGTCATGTTATAAACATATCTTAAATTCCTGTTTTATTGTGAGTTTCACTAATTTCACTATTTGGTATTAGAAGCCATTGTTACGTTTTATAGATATGCATATTTCCCTTCAACTTATTGAATTTTTCTTTGTGATTTGTTAGCATTCGTGAGTTCATAATGTAAGTGCTGTACCTAATTACTAGACACTTGGCAAATTGGTCATATACTAACAACAGGTATTTTACTCAAACAGAAAGCCCAGTATGATTTATTTTCATTCACAACTAGACCTAGGATTGCTGTAGAGTGGTCTGTGTCACTGAAATTAATAGCAGTTCCCTTTTGTCTTTTGCCTATGGAACTATTGGTTTGTGGTGTTAGTGTGTTCTACATGGTAATACATTTTTCATGTCAGATTTAGTGGTCAAGAGAGTGATTATCTCTTAAGAATTCTAGTAAATTTTCAAATGTCATAAATATATGTAGAGGAGAATTATTTTCACTAGTACCTGTAGTTAGTGCTTTGTCTTAGAATTTTAGCCTCTTTACAGTTATGTCTTTTTAACTCAAAAATATGTATGTTTACTATTTATTATCTTGTTCTTTGTAGCTCTAAAATCAAAAACCATTGATGATCTACTAAGGAATATAGTAAAAGAACAGTTTAAGGCCTTCCAAGATGGCATGCAGGAAACCATTGCCCAGCTCTTCAAGACTGTGTCAAGTCTATCAGAGGACCTGGAAAGTACCAGACAGGCAGTTTTACAAGTGAATGAGTCCTTGGTTTCAGTAACAGCCCAGCAAAAGTTTGTTTTAATGCAAGAAATTCAACCCACATGGAAGGACATCACAGATTTAAAGAGTAGCATCACAAATGTCAGGCAGGAAATGGCCTTGGTCTGTGAGAAGCCTGTCAAGGAACTAGAAGCAAAGCAGGCTCAAATGGAAGGAGCTTTAGGAGAGGAGCACTCACAACTTGTTCTGTACCACCAATCCCTCAATGAAACTCTCTCCAAAATGCAGGAAGCATACTCACAGCTGTTCTCAGCTCAACAAGTATCAGGAACAGAGAATGTTGCCATTGAGGAATCAGACAGCAGTAATGCCACGAAGTATATCTCTATGCTACAAAAGACAGCAAGCAAGCAAGGTCTGATGTTGCTGCAGATGTTGGGAGATTTGCATGCCCAAGAGAGCAAGATCAGCAACCTCACTATTCGTTTGGAGATGGAGAAAAAATCAGTCAGGGGAGAATGTGAAGAAATGCTATCTAAATGCAGGCATGACTTTAAATTTCAACTTAAGGACACAGAGGAGAATCTACATGTGTTAAACCAAACATTGTCTGAGGTTATCTTTCCCATGGACATCAAGGTGGATAAAATGAATGAGAAGCTCAATGATTTGACCTATGACATGGAGATCCTGCAGCCTTTGCTGGAGCAAAGGTCGTCAGTTCGACAGCAGGTTATACGTGAACCAAAGGAAACCACAGTTACACGCAGAGAACTACAAAACGTGATTGGTGCTATCAACCGCCTGAATGTTCTTACTAAAGAACTTACAAAAAGGCACAACTTACTCAGAAATGAAGTGCAGAGCCAAAGCGAAGCCTTTGAAAGAAGCATCAGTGACCATGTCTTGGAAATGGAAGATGGCCTAAATAAGACAATGACTGTCATAAACAATGCCATAGATTTCATTCAGGATAACTTTGTGTTGAAGGAGGATTTGAGCACTTTGACAGATAATCTCAAGCTTCATGAGGGTAACCAAAATATAGAATCCATTTTGGCATTTATTTCTGAGTTCCAGCGTCTGAATGATTCTATTCAGACTTTGGTCAATGACAATCAGAAGTATAATTCTGTTTTGCAAATTGCTAAAGCCCTTTCAACTACTTCCAAAGATAAGAAATTAAGTCAATTAAACTTTCAAAATATTTATCAAATGTTCAATGAAACCACTTCCAAGGTGAACAAATGTCAGAAAGACATTGGTTATTTAGAAGAAAATGTACTCTCAGCAACAAAGATTGCCAAAGAGTTTGAAACTCGTTTACAAGGCATTGAATCTAAAGTGACCAAGACACTCATACCTTACTATATTTCATTTAAAAAAGGTGGCATGGTATCAAATGAGAGAGATGCTGATCTTCAACTGAAGGTGTTAAATTCCAGATTTAAGGCACTGGAAGCAAAATCCATCCATCTTTCAGTGAGTTTCTCTTTGCTTAACAAAACTGTTCATGAGCTTTCTACATGCTGTAATGCTTCCTCAAGTACAGTTGGGCAGGATGATCCCTTACCCATGTGGACCAAAGGCCACCTGCCAGACAGTCTCACAGAACTTGTAGACTCAATAGTTAAGATAAAAACTCAAGCTGCTCTATCTAATTTAACTTCACATGCTGATCGATTGTTGTCTGACAGTCTGGCAAATATGGTCAAACCTCAGAAGCAGGTAAAATTGCAGAAGAAACCCAACGCACTTAAGAAATCAGTGAACATGACTACCATCCTGATAGGCCGAACACAAAGAAACACAGACAGCATCATAAATCCTGGTAAGCTGGAACTGAATGACAACTTTGAACCTTTTTCATGCTATAGGTTACATGCTGTGGTGCAGATCCTACTCTTATAGCCAGGCCAGAGGCAGAGTAGGGTAATGCAAGGTGATGGATGCACTCTATTGCATCGGATTGAATGTGAGTTAGGTATCAATATGCAGGGAAACTCTAATAGACACCCTGTCTACATGATTCAACTCTTTCTAACAGACCACTATAAAACAATTAAACACTTTTCCTGTAAAACATCTCAACAGATGGCTAGTTAAGAAATTTATTATGCACCAAGTTTCTTAAAAAAAGACCATAAATTAATTTGTGCCTTACTAGGTACAGTATGAAATAAGTACTCAATGGATCTCTATCAAATGACTTAAGGGAATATTCAGGAATTGGATTTGAGTTGGCCACAGAAAATCATGAATGTGAAGAAAAAAACCTACACTTAGATACAATTTTGTAGTGAGATATCTTTGAAAGTTCAGAGCAATGGTTTGGCTGTTGTGAAGTTACAATGCAGACATATGAAGTTGATGCAATGCCAAGCATTGTCTGTCGTACACACTAACACTAGGACACAAGTTAGGCCCTTACTAAGTAAATGTGGGCCCACACAGTGAGCGTAAGAAGTAAGGAGAGATGGTTGACAGGGGACTTCAAAACTGTTGTGAGGTTGTGGTCAATAGAAAATAGGAGCAGTGGAAAGAGTGAGGACATGAGAGTCAAGTCTTGATTCTGGTCCTCACTGTAGCACTAAGTTTCGCCTTTAGTTAAAACCTTTAAGAAAGAAAAGCAAAATGACTCACCCTTCTGCATTTACTTCTGCTGGCAGGATTAGATTGCAATAGGTGATTTACTGGGGTCATTGGGAGAAATGTACTGCAGTATATCCCTGTGAGAAACACACTGCTCACAGCCTGATGGAAGGAACTCGCAGAGGAGAGAAACACATTCTGCAGTTTTGAAACAGGGTAATGAGAGAATAGCAGGACCATCAACAGATGTTGCTGACTGCTCTCAGTTGAGTGATTGACTTAATATTTGATTGAGGAGCTGATAGGAAATAACACAGCTCTGACTTTTGTTTTTGTTTTAGTGGGGCCTTGATAAAATTCCTTCCTATGTATTTATTTATTTATATATTTATCAATCAAATTTTGTAGTCTTCTCTCTCTTTTTTTGTTTTTGTTGTTGTTGTTGTTATTGTTGTTGTTGTTTTTTGAGACAGGGTTTCTCTGTGTAGCTTTGGAGCCTATCCTGGCATTCGCTCTGGAGACCAGGATGGCCTCGAACTCACAGAAGTCCGCCTGTCTCTGCTTCCCAAGTGCTGGGATTAAAGGCATTCACCACCAACACCAGGCATGTAGTCTTCTCTCTCAAGGTTAAGAATTCAAACTTCTTTATTGTATCTCAGTTAAGACAACAATAATACTGCCAAGGCAATAGAGGCATTGGCTCAATTCCAAGTGCAATGTGGCAATCACTTTTGATGAATTCACTTTCTAAGGAAAGGGGTCCTTTCAACCAAATGTGCATTTGCTCACCTGTCAACTTGGCCCTCCAGCTGTGGGCTATAAACTGGTGGCATTCTTTGGACAACTGAACAAGCAAGGACTTTATAAGATGACAAAACCAGGGGTGCTAGCTAAAGCACCTGAGGGGCTAGAGAGATGGCTCCTAAGGTAAGGTGCCAGCTATGAAAGCCTGTGACCCTGAGTAAAGATCCCCAGAACCCATGGGAAAAGCCAGGCATGGCTGTAAACATCTGTAACACCAGCAGAGTGGACCACAGACAGGTCTCTGGAACTCTCACTCACCACACACTTTAGCAAAAGTTGCAGGTTCGGTGGAGAGACCTGGAATCCCCAAAGAGTAAGATGGCGAGCCATTGATGAAGCTATCCTGATGCCAATCTCTGGCTCATTCAGAGGCACAAGCTTTGTTACTCACAAGTGTAAACACAAGCACCCCTATACACACACACACACACACACACACACACACACACACACACACACACACACACATTTAACACAGAGAAAGACACAGAGACACAACACACATCAAAATAAATAAATAAAGTCATTATAAAGTAAAAATACATCATTTGATACACCTTTTGCCAATTGTGGTATGTAATAGCCAGGACTTTGGCTAAATTTGTGTCTGTCCTTTACACTTGATCTTAACCAAAAGAGCAAGAAGTAATCAATTTGGCTATGTCCTTTGACTTTTTAAAATGGTTTTTCAAAACAAGATTTCTCTGTGTGGCCCTGGCTGTCCTGGAACTCTCTCTGCAGACTAGGCTGGCCTTGAATTCATAAAGATCTGCCTGTCTCTGCATCACAAGTGCTAGGGTTAAAGGCATGCACCACCCCTGCCCAATGCCATTTTTGGTTTTAGTTTTTTACTCGTTGCTCGTTGGGGGCCCAACACCCAGATTCCAAATACATACATGAGGATTTATTCTTACTTTTGAATGCTCAGCCTTAGCATGGCTTGTTTTTCTAGACAACTTTTCTTAAATTATCCCATCTACCTTTTGCCTTTATGGTTTTACCTTTCTCTCTTTCTGTGAATCTGTTCTTTCCTTCTTATTATATGTCTGGCTATGTGACTGGGTGGCTAGCCCCTGGCATCCTCTTCTCCTCCTTTTCTTGATCTCCTCTTTCTCTCTGTGTAGTTTTGGGGCCTATCCTGGCACTCGCTCTGGAGACCAGGCTGGCTTCGAACTCACAGAGATCTGCCTGCCTCTGCCTCCCGAGTGCTGTCGATCTCCTCTTTCTATTCCTCTTCTCCTCCTATTTATTTTCTCTGCATGCCAGTCCTGCCTATCCTTTCTCCTGCCTTGCTATTGACTGTTCAGCTCTTTATTAGATCAATCATGTATTTTAGGCAGACAAAGCAATACAGCTTCTCTGAGTTAAAAAAATGCAACACACTTTTGCATCATTAAACAAATATTCCATAGCATAAACAAATGTAATACATCTTTAACTAATAGCCTACAAGGGTGCCGTTTGACTTTTGATATTGTAGGGTAGAACACAGAGCTACATTTCTTCCACATAACTAAAACCAGAGGATAACACCATCGTTTTTGGAACCTCTTTATCATATTATTCATTGTTCATATTTTATAAATATTTATAAAAATGTGATGGGGGAAAATCTGTGTATCAGTTTTAATTTTCATAAATCATGACTAACTTTGAGGCCTGACACTAACACTACAAAATTTTATACATTATTTATTAACATTCTCTCACTGCAGGATTTGTAGATGTACTAGTTATGTTGCTTTATTTAACAATACATACAAGACAGGTATTACCATTTTATTTTGAAGAACCAGGAACAGTCAGAGATTAACCAAAGTATCCTCCAGTTACCAGGTGCCCTAATCTACCGCCTCAGCCTCCATCCTCAGCTCTCACCTGCAGAAATGGGAGAATGTATTCCTGTGCCTTCTCCCTTCTGCCTCTCTTCCCTGTTTTCCATGCTCTTTAGAATATGGCTGTAGCTGAGTGTTCCATGTGGCCAAAGCTGATAATCCTGGGAGTTTCCTTTATCAAGGATTCAAATGCTGATAACTGAGACCTCTGTTGATGCTACTGAAATCTTGCTAATGATTTCAGTTTGACTTTCTCATGACCTGGCCTGAAAGTCTCATGAGTTATTCATGAAATCTGCCTTTACCTGATGGTAGTGAAAGGGAAACGCCACATTCAGTTATGCTAAATAAGGTATCTACCAGGCCATTGCTGAGAAGCTATTCTGGCTTAGCTGCTAAACACTTGATTTGTTTTTATACAAAACTCAGATAGATATCAAAGAGTTATGCATTTTAATTTCATGTTTGAAGGTTTGTTTGTACAGCAATTGCCTGACTTATCCCTGGAGAGAGATTGGCTGCTTGCCCTCCCAAGGGCAACAGAATCCTCAATATCACTGTGGAGTGGGCAGACTTCCTGTTCAACACTCCACAGTGTTTCAGTGTAGTCATGTAACAAACCTCTTTTATCCATAATTACTCCTGTACTCCAAAGGAAGACTTCAGTGTACAGAATATTTGGCACTGTACCAACGTAGTTTTCAAAACTCATCAGTGTTCTGAATACAAGCAAGTTAGAAGAGAAAGCTTAGTGAATACTTAACTGTTTTCACCACTCTAAACCATTTCTAGTATTTGTGACTTCATAGAGACAGTTGTGATGACTACTGGACATTGAATTTATAACCAAACCTCAAATCTTTCTTTTTATGCCATTTATGTTTTAAACTAAATCATCTATAAAATAACTTGGCCACCTTACAAGTTTATTTTCAAGAACATGAAATAATCTACTTATGGCACAGTATCTAGTAATTATTATATGATGCAATTTTTAGCTGTGATAAATTTTTATTATTTCACCCAATATTTGATCTGTATCTACTTACATTTACCACTAGAAATTGTGGATTTAATTTTTAATTTCATTGTTTTCTTTTTCTATCAGTTTCTGTCTTTTAGAAGTCATTGTTTTAAACTCAGTACATGCACAGGTGTGTGTGTGTGTGTGTGTGTGTGTGTGTGTTTGATGTGTGTGTGTGTAATGTACCTTGTGAAATAACGGTGAAAAAATAGACTACAAAGCATAATGACTTAACTGTGCAAAACCCTGTGCATTGATAAGCAATGGAAAAGTATCTGCACATGCTTCTTGTTCTCTTGTGGTGCTGAGGATTGAACTCAGAACCTATGAAAAGAAAGTGTTCTACCAGTGAGCAACATTCTCAACCCTCTACAAAGTCTTTGAAGAATTCTTTCCTTCCTTCAAGAGAATTTTCTATTGCCATGATTTTCTGTATTACTTAAAATAAGATTTTTAAGTGCACCTTAAAGTATATTTGACAAAGATGACCTCTGTATAAAATGACTAACTGTAAGATACTTCAGTTATAAAGGCTGATTGAATTTAGTACTCATTTATTTTAGAAAGTCTGAGAAC